AGTTTTGTGTTCATAATATGTTAGTTTTTATATGGAATACCACAGATTGTTCATTAATTAATGTGTGTACTGTTTGAAAACTGTACTGTTGTTTGTGGTTTTATTAATATGAAAAACTAAGCATTAAACTGTGGTTCTTTTCCCAAACATGTGTTTGTTTTACTAGTATCCAACTGGATTCACTGGTTTCTAGACTGCATTCCTAGCAGAGTAGGTCAGATGCTATTCTGCATCCGTTCTGAATCTGGTCTAGATTCCAACACATTACACTGTCAGTTTAAGGGGATTTAAGGGGGGGTCTTATTTCTGAATGCTGTAGATTAATTAAAGAAAACAATTGGTTTACAGACGGTAATTTTACTTTCCTTTAATATGAAAATGAGGAGATACAGTATGATTGTCGATGTTGGTATGAAAAACTTTTATAAAAGGGAGATATTGAGAAGGGATAGAATCCTGTCGATATTCAGGTAAAAAGGTCAAAGGTCAGGGTCAAAACTTCTAAACACCGATTATTGTTTGTATATGAAATCTCTTAAACAGGGTCATGGGTTGATTGATTGATTGGTGTTTAACGTCACTTTCAGCACTAATTGCTATTTCGTGGCGGTTCTTTTTTGTTGGTGGATGAAGCCGGAGTGCCAGGAGAGAACCACCGACCATCGGCTAGAAAACTAACAATCCTTGTCAATTAAGATTGGAGTCGAGCAAACCTGCCACGACTTCAGTGTTGATCAGCTAGTGATATCTTAGACAGTCGGCCATCAAGGCCCCCAGTGTCATCGGAACCCCTGGTTTATAAACAAGGGCATAAAAGGAGTTTCAGTAAATCAAGGCTTTGGAGGAAGCATTTATGATATATATAGTTATCATCAAAGTCTAACTTGACTAATCAAGGACTATAAAGTCCCAGGGTGTATAGGTTCCCAATATGAATTGTAGCACATTAATACAAGTAAAAAAAATCAACAATAGTTGTACATGTGTTATTTGTCCCTCGAACCTTACTAGAATTTGAACTCATAGAAACAAGACAGACCATACATGAAGGGCACTATTTTTTTTTTCTGTATGAACTGTTCTGTTCATTGAACATCAGTTGACAGTTCCGGCTTTAAACTTGTTAATATCGATGCGATCTTCTGTACCAATGTGTTATAAAGGTTACGATTTTGTAGATGTCTATGACTCTTTTTTTTTAACCCAAACATAATAATTACTCATTAAGTAAAAAAGAAATTTGTGGTTTAAGTCAATGAGACAGAAACCCAAGCGATATAAATAATCAAAAGACATAAGAGGGCAATATACAGTATTGGAAATAAGTAAGGACCCCACTGGAAATAAGTTTTTAATAACTTTTGTGGGTCATCCTAAGGTATTAGGCTACAGTAAAAATCTAGTCAATTTAAATTTCACTCATTATTTAATCTAGTCTATTCATATTATCAAAATATCATGACAATTTTCAAAATTTTATTTTTTAAATTAAAATTTTTAGTAAACATGTAAATCATTTTAGTGTCTATAAACTATGTCTAGTGCTATATCTGTGTCATTGTAATATATTGTATCTGTCAAATTCATGCCTTTTATCTTGAATAAATATATATATATATTTCACAATTTTGTATTAGTCAAGTCAGAGATGTTTATGTTGTGAATAAGTTTAACATAAACAGTCAAAGATTTGCATCCCAACAGAAAATTATTTAAGATACAAGAAGCAAAAAGCATAACAAATACCAAATAATTCCTTAAGATATGACATTAGAAAACCACTGAAGGGGCTCACGATTGTTCCTATAGCCCATATTGTTACATTTAAACGTCGAATTGTGAATAACTAAATTAATTCAAACAAAAACAGACGGCAATATGTCACATTTACACCTCGGAATCTTTTTCTAAATACCTAAACTGTTACGTAGCTAACCAAATGACAAACTGCAAATTATGAAAAAAAATATGCAAACACATATTTTCGTCAGAAATATTCTCTTTACGTCCAATGTTTGATATGTCAAGAATCGTGTATACTTTTGACCAATTCCATCACATTGAATGATCTTTGAATTTTCGATGCCACAAATAACCAAAAGATGTTTGATCTGCTTAACTTACAGTTGTTGGTTGCTGACCAGTTAACCTTTACTCAACATCTTCTTATTCATATCGGGGCCTCGGTGGCCGAGTGGTCTAAGTAGTTACTACTGTAATCACTAGCCAGTCAACACTGAGGTTGTGAGTTCGAACTCCAATCTTAAATGACTAGGATTGTCAGTTTTCCTATCGAAGGTCGTGGTTTTCTCCGGGCACTCCGGCTTCCTCCACCAATAAAAACTGGCCGCCACGAAATAACCCAAAAGCGGTTCTTAAAAGTGGCGTTAAAACACCAAAAATCAAAATCAAATCTTATTCATATCATTCAAATTTTGTACTTATAATCACCAGACTTTAAAAGTATAGAAAACAAATGTACAAAAAAACTGAAGGGATATTAGACAAAATCGATGCCCATTAAGAATGATATCTTTACGGAAAATCGTTTTAACATAATATACATGGAAAAGTAAAGAACCGGTGTTCTAAACTACCCATTTCGCTGATTCAATTGCTTAATTGAAGGCGTGATAATCTTCTATTCGGTCTGAAATGGATATGAACTAAATGCATGTCCATATTTTAGGAGATTGCCACGTACATTTTAATTTGTACGATACATTGACTACTATTGCAAAAAAAAAATATCCATCATGCCACTTTTTCCTCAAATTCTTAAACAAAGATATACATGTACATTCATACAACGGAACAGCAGTTTTTCTGGTAATTATTAAATGAGATTCATCCCTACTACATAATTCTTTTTCGATGGCTTCAAGTGTTGGAGACCATGGGCCCGACCCCCTTCCGAGTCAAAGCAGAGTTGGAACTTGGTATTTGCTGCATCTCCGCTAAGAACGCACCATTTAGGAAAAGACTGGTCGGCACGTAATCAGAATATTATGTCCGATTATGGTGACATGGCTTCCTGTTGACTGTTGCCTCATATCACAGTGACATCGTCCTGATATGCATGTAATACTTGTCATTGGACGTTAAGCTATAAACCATAATCATCATCATTAGTGAACTACTTGTTTAAAACATAAATCTGTAGTGTGTGATAATTAAGTGGCTATTAAGAGAGTTGTTTTGTTTTATACGTAATCCTTTTTATCTTCGAATATGTTTCTTTTGAAGACAATATCTATAATATCGTTCCAATGGTGTTATTATCTAAAAATAGGGGATGGGCAGTTTGGAATTTTTTTAATCAAGGAAAGTTTACATTATTGTTTAGACTTTTCAAATTATCTTTTTGACGGTCTTTTGAGGAAATAGTTTCCGAAGGCGGAACTTTGATCAATTGATATAATAGTACACATTATCTGTTCAAATAAGGCCTAGTTTCTAGTGTAATTAATTACCCCAAAAAAGTTTCAAAGTTTGCTTTTCAATGCTGCTTTTGTTACCCAACAGTAGTCATTATTATTTTAATGAATAAAAACTAAATTGTTTTTTTTTATTGTTGTTTGATTGCTGTCTCATTGACGTATTGTCGAATTTCTACAATTTTTTGACATGGCTCTCACAGGCACTCAATGTCTCTGAAATTTGTTTACCTATGTATACTTAAATGTTATATTGAAATTAAAAGGTATTTTTTTCAGAGACAAGTGCCTGTGTTAATGGCGTTATCAAGATATGTGTAATAAATGTGGTTCTGAAATTGATGTTGCATTTTGCACACAAATTAGTAAAACATTTTTTTCAAGTATCAATGAATAACAAAATATGTCGTACCGACTTTAAATTACTCTAGTTATTCTATCATAGGCCTAAATAAAATGCAAATAGACCAAAAGTCACAACCTAAATGAACTTCATCAGAAAGAAACACATGCCTGTTTCACTAGCTTACAAGTGTAAGGCGAAATCTCTTTTCAATACTGTGTAATAATCCAAAGCACAGGTTTTCAGTGATTAATTCAGGGTCGAGTATAAAGAGGATTGAGGTTTTGAAAATGAACATACAAACGACAATTAAATGAGGTGCAGATCAAGTGACTTTTTTACCAGGTAGTGATTGTTGTCGCTAGCTGCTTAACCGTAATTCTTACGATGCTTGGGATATTTCTTGATACTTTGTGGCTCGCAAATACGAAAACATATTCATAAGACCATAAGAGCTACGGTTCTGTAACTATGTTGTTGCTTGTCTTTGTTTGTACGATTGTTTTTTCAGAGTAGTCTGATGTTGGTTGTTGATGTCGTCTGCTTTATTTAGTATTTCTGGTGATTTGTGTTAGTTATGCATTACAAGTTTCCAAAATGGTCACCAAAAACATGCAGAGAAGTGAAGCTTTTTTTTCTTTTGCATGTATGGAAGTATTAGATTCTTTCCAAAATGGTCACCAAAAACATGCAGAGAAGTGAAGCTTTTTTTTCTTTTGCATGTATGGAAGTATTAGATTCTTTCTCTTTTAAATTAATTACTAAAAGTCATAGTTTCAATGTGAAGTAAAACAAAAACGGCCCTTTACCCCTCCTCTAGGCTGCATAAGTATTCTTTGAATGTGCCTGCATTTAAAAGTCAAAGTTACAAAAGGTAATATCCATTTTATCCTGTTGTTGGTATACAAAATTTAAAATAAGGTTTTATATCGACTCTGTTGAGTTCAGTCAATTTTGTTCCAACGTTTCAACTCAAAAGTTTTTAGTTTGAACGAATACAGGTTTACCATATCATGTGTAAATGTCTATGAAACAATTGTGTAATGTTGATGTATGTGATTGTCACGAATTCGTTCAAATAGACACCTTACATTCATCAAACTAAGAGATCTAGAGGCCAATGGATTTGTAGTACAAAGTGCAGAATCAATAATCTGCTTTGTTGTTATGCACTTTTACATGGTTATAAGAAGTTAATATTGAAAGGGACAGTATTTTTTAAAATTTTATAATAAAATCATAGACAATGATTCATTATTTTGTGTACATCATTACAGTTAGTAATTTCGTCATTCTTCTTCGTTTATTTTACGAAACTTGGTACATTGCAATGCTTCCCCTCTTGTATCCCAAACAGACAATCTTCTTTTCTTTGCAGTAATACACTGCTCCTGGTTTATCAAGTTCATCATGATCAGTGAGTAAGACCTTACTGTCTTTTCCATCATGTTGTATGAGTGTCAGATTGTGTTGACCAACAACAAATACGTTCTGATTAGTGTCCACTGATAGACATCTCGGACTGGAAATAGACTGATCCTTGAATACCCAGATTTCTTTTCCTGTCATACTACAGCAATGTACTGTTCTACTGTTGTTGTCTGTATAGTATATCCTTTCTCTGGTTGTTGTTATACTAAACACGCCCAATGAAATACCGTTTACGATTGTATTTAATTTCTTTCCATTCAAGTCCATTACTTCTATGCCCTCTTTGTATACAACCACGTACAGTTTCTGGTCCTGGAAAGATATTCCCCGCCCGTTAAAACTACATTGTATCTTCTTCCTTTCACTATCATTCTTAGTGTTTATAATCACCAGGTAATTTGCACCTGGATATGTAACAGCAATACGGTCAGTATCTACTGCTGTAATATCGAACGGTTTAGCAGAGACTGGAATGTCACGAATATGTTTTCCATTGTTATTGTATTCCAATAACTTACCACTACCAAAATAGTCTGCAATTATAACTGTGTCGTCATGTAAAATGGTGCAGGCAGTTATTGTTTTTTCTGATCCTTTGATATCAAACTTCTGTTTCAAATGTAGACTGATATTACAAACATTTTGCATTGATCCCTGTATATGTATCTGAGCCTGGTCGATCTTTGCATCTTTTAATTCAAGACCGGCTTTGGTTACAAAAACTTTAATTTCTCCAAACTGCTTTACTTCCTCCATCAAGGAACTTATCACGTGATGTATCTCTATTTCCATCCTGTTATTTGTATGATCTTTCATATCTGCTTTAAGTGATCCAATCTTTTCAGTTATTGTTTTGTTTAATTGACGCGTTCCTAAAAACACTTGCAGATCAGACGCAAAGCGTTTCATTTTAAGTGTTTGCTCTCTCATGTTTTCTAACTCTTTCTCTATTTGCTTCATTTGATCAAAAATTTTAATGTATTTTGATTTACAGTTTTCATGTTGGGATTTCAAATCTAGAAGCAGTTTTCTCTCGAGTTCATCTAAGTATTTGGTCAGACTCAATCGCGTTTCTGCAATTGTTTTTCTGATTGTTTGTTCTTCTTTGTCCACATTTTTCCAAGCCGTTTCTCGGTCGTTTATACAATACTTGACGTCGTCTAAAGTTTTTGAGATTGTTTCTTCTAAGTCTGAGAGTGCACTTGATTGTTTTACGTTTTTAGATGCTTCATCGATGGAGAAAACATCAGAAGAGGAACATGTTTTATGTGCAGACGGGGCACAGACAACACATATTGCAATATCGTGCTTCTTGCAGTATAAATCCAGCTTTTTACCATGTATTTCACAGTTCATATTTACTGTAATGTCTTCTATTTGACGATAATCTTCAACTGAAATCATCTTGTGATCTCTCGAAACTTTCATAGACTTATGAGATTTCTCACATTCTCTACAAAACCCTTCTTCGCAATTGGTACACCATATTTTTGCGTTCTTCGTTTTCTCCTCATATCCACAGGGACCACACTGTATGTTCAATTTATATGCCATATTCCTTCAAATATTTAATACACGTTAAAAAAATCAGCATTGCAGTAAATTCTATTGTTCAACAAAAGAGACGACAATAACGGACTTGTTCACACACATATATATAAAGACGAGGTTTAAAGGGGGCATATTTTATAGTTTTACAATAATTTATCAAATATGATTAATCCTCTCACAAAATTTTGTTTGAAATAAATATTAAACAAGATTAAAATCTTATTTAAAGAATAAATAAAGAGTAATCCAACATTTTAAAACATACTAGTAACATTCTTTCGCCCAACTGATAAATTTTGCGATCAAAAAGATAGGTGTATGTCCGCTATCCCTCTTTCCTGTTCCCTGTATCCGCCAATTTATAGACATTGTTTTCACATATCGCGAACTAACTGCAGTATGCTTGAATTGCTTTCCTTAAAAAGTTACACTATTGTAAGAGATTGAAAGGAACTTCCCTTTTGATTTTGAAAATTTTCTGGTTTGTCAGTCTAGAGTTACGGGACTTTAACTGTCATATTTAAGTCATTATTTTTTTACATGTTTTACCATTACTCGAGTTTGCTTGGAATGATTTACTGGAAACTTTACATAATTTTTGGAATTGATGAAAGTAAGATTACACTCAATTTTGATAATTTTCCGATTTGGCTTTCTAGAGTTATCATAAGGCTTTTCGGTCGTCGGAGTGAAAAAAGGCATTTTTTTACATATTGTTCTAGTGTGCTTGGTTCAAATCAATACAAACTTTAAACTGCTGTTGTGATTGGTGAATTTAGACTCGATTTTGACTTGATTTTTTTTTATTTGCAGTTCCAGAGTTATTGGACTTTAAACAGTCATATTTGACCCAATAGTCATATTTGGTCATTGGACCATTAAAATGATGCGAAAGATATTTGACATATGACAGAATGAAGCTCAATCCATAAGGCAAGTATATACCATATATATATATATGGATTACCCAGCACTTCTACAGTCTAAAATAGGAAATTTTATTCAAAGAGCTAACGCCCACCGCCACCGGATTAGCATCCTTTTGTCTTGTTAAATGTGACATTTGTCGCAGGAACACTTTTTTTTTGTCTTTGCGAGTACAATATTCTTTTATTCAAATACAATTTTCATGAATTTTCATAAACAATTCAGTATTAGAAATAATTTCAAATAAGTCCAAATCTTGGGTTGTTAGTACCTCCAATATTTGTAATGATTTTGTCGTGTTTTCTTTGGCTTATGGTATTTGGTTGCTCCTTGGTATCCTCTACTTCTTTTTTTTAAACTTTGCCTTCAAATAAATCAACCTAAAGAGTTTATTTCATCTCGTCAGATAATAGCGGTGGATGAGTACCCCAAAAATTGAAGAGTCAATATTAACCTGGGGCAGGTAACACGATCCTACGACTGAGTAGGACTAAGGATCATAGTGTGTAACAAAAAAACACACTATAAACATTCTCACGCATGTTGACAGCCATTAATACGTTCGAAATTTTATGAGCTTAAGGAAATTTGTGCACCCCTTTAGCGAAAACAAATTAATTTTAGTAACTCGAAAATATCTTAATTTTACTGTTGCTTTAGTAAGAACTATTTGTATTCACTTTTGCATGTGTAACATGACCCTTTCTTATCAGTTGTAAATATACGTGTTGTCCTTCCCATCCCTTAAATACTCGTGTTGTTCAGTCTTTAGTTTTCTATGTAGTGTTTTGTAGACTGTTGTTTGTCTCTTGGTCGTTTTTGTAATGGTGCTGTTGGTTTTTCACAAACCTCTGATTTGATTTTTCCTTTGGTATATTATATTTCGGCTTCTTTTTTCAAGATTTACTTAAATAAGTCAACATAAAAAAATCATTTCAATTCGGCTATGGAGCGCTGCATGAGTACCCCAAAAGAAGAAGCGGTAGAATTTACTTTGTCCGTCGGCGAAAATGTACCATACCACTTCAACAAGGAAGTTTGTTACCTGAATGTCATTTGCTGTTTGTTTATATTAAAGCACTAGTTTGCACTTAATAGGCAGATGAAATTAAATATTGAAAACCTCAACTATCTAGTTACCTATGAAGATAAACAACAATCGGAAAACGGTTGATAATATCTTTCTCAACTTTCGTTTCTGTCGTTAGTCAGTAGTTGTGACTGTTGCCAGGACAGATCCACGTCATCGTTCATTCATTAAGAATCTAAAGAAGCGGATAAACTCGAAAAATTAGAATTAGAAAAATGTTCAGAAAAACAAATAAAGATTTTAATGTTGCTTCAAACTATAGATTAGCAAATTTATCCCATCAATACAAATTGCAGCATTTGAACAACAACAGTATAATTAAATGATGATGGATAGATGTCAAACGTTCAATATCAAATTAAATGCATATCAATGACGAGAATATGTTAATGCAAAATGAATGTTAGCATTGATCTGTACGCGACCTTCAAGTGAGTCGTATTTTGAATGGCTGATTCAAAATGTAACAATTTTTAGTAAGAAATGTTACCTTACTCGGACAAATTTTTTTCCGAGGCGACCAGTGTTTGTAATAAATAAACTCATCGTGAATACTAGGATTAAAATTATATACGGCTGACGCGCGTTTCGTCATCAAAAGACTCATCATTGATGCTCGAATCAGAAAAGTTCATAAGGCCAAATAATGTACAAAGTCGAAGAGCATTGAGGACCTAAAATTCCAAAAGGCTTTGCCAAATATAGCGTAGGTAATACATTCCTGGGGTAATAAATTCTTAGTATTATGATTGGTTTTCGAGAACACTTATTGATTTTTTAAATAAAACTATTCTTAAAGGTTATCAAAGTTGCGAGATCTTTTATTATTCTCTTCATCAATACTTACATTAATATTGTCCTTAATAAAAAAATATCAATTTATAATAAATGTCCACAGGCAATATCATCAAATAATAGAGAGAAGAATTTCTTGGTTCAAAATTTTTAGGTTCGGCGATGCATTTCACATTAAATAGGAAAACATAGTCGTACAAGATTTGAATTTTAGAGTAATTTACGGTCAACTTTAGATATTTTTTAGAAGGTAATTGCCGACAGATTTGTCCTAAACCGTTCCCCTTTTTTGAGTCAATTTCATTTCCGTGACATAAATAGCTGGACTTTTTTCTTCAAGAGTTCAATTTGAAATTAACTGTTGTTTGACATTTATAACTACCTAAATACTTTTAAAACGTATAAAACGTAAAAGTGACTTTGTCAATATTTACTTGGTTGGGAGGTGGGCTGGAGTTTTTGGCACATACAATTGATGATTGCTAAGAACGGTGTATTATTTTCTGATCCATTGCTGCATTAATGGTAGTTTTCATTTCCAATCACTTACTATTGTAAATTCAGAAATTATTGCGTGCATTTATTATTACGATTTTTGAAAAATGGACAAAAATGCGGGATTAATTATTGCGATTTCAGGAAATATGTATCAGATATCAGAATGCGAGTTCTTATTATTGCGATATTCACCCAGTCGCATTAATCGCATTAATAAAAACCTCACAATAATTTCTGAATTTACAGTATTTCCAACATTTTGTGAGTCAGAATAATAAAATTTAATATAAAATTACGGAGATGTGGTATGATTATTAATGATACAATTAAGCTGATGTTGGGGAGATTTTTTTATTTTTTTCAGGTCAATAATTTTCAAAATTCTCCTGTTCACATGTAAATCTGTACTCATTTAATTCTTAATCGATGTTTTTATTCAAATGAATACATATGAAGTAAATCATATGCTCATACATTTTTGTAACAGCAATAGATCGAGGAGCATTATACTGATTAACAGTAACATGACATAATTAGTAGGTTATTCTCGATTTTGTTGTAATTGCGGATGTGACCTCAATAAGACTTTTTATGATTTTGTCGAGCCTGCGACTTTTGTCGCAAAAGCGAGACATAGCGATCCTACATTCCGTTGTCGTCGTCGTCGGCGGCGTCCACAAATATTTACTCTGTGGTTAAAGTTTTGAAATTTTAATAACTTTCTTAAACTATCCTGGATTTCTACCAAACTTGGACAGAAGCTTGTTTATGATCATAAGATAGTATCCAGAAGTAAATTTTGTAAAAAAAAAATCCTGTTTATCCGTATTTTACTTATAAATGGACTAAGTTTTTCTGCCAGTTAACATTACATTCACTCTGTGGTTAAAGTTTTAAAAATTTTAATAACTTACTTAAACTATCCTGGATTTGTACCAAGCTTGGACAGAAGCTTGTTTATTATCATAAGATAGTATGCAGAAGTAAATTTTGTAAAAAAAAATCCTGTTTATTCGTATTTTACTTATAAATGGACTTAGTTTTTCTTCCAGTTAACATTATATACAGTCTGCAGTTAAAGTTTTTAATGCATTTGTTAGATTCATAAACCATCCTTGATTTCTACCAAACTTGGACAGAAGCTTCTTATTTATTTATTTCATTAACTGTAAATCTATTATGTGCATTCCCCTATCACACTGAAAACATAGACAACAGCAAAAGTAGGCGAGACACTGGGTTCCGCGGAACCCTTACGAATTTTTGAATAAATAACCTGACTTAAAGTATTTAGAATTATTTGTACTTAAAATATTTGAAAGTTTTAAAATAATCATAAAGATCTGGTTAGTTGCGGAGCTGATAACAGTATAAGTTAATAGTGTATGTGACACTTTCATATTAAGTGGATCGAAATAACAGGGCAAATGCGCTTGACGACGGATATTTATAGCATGAATGAAATATTGATTAATATGTATTACAATACACTATAACTTGATCTTATTTATATAAACCTTTCTCTAAGTATGACAGAATGATAATAAAAAATGTACACATTGTAATGTATTGCCTGCTTTACTTAGTATGATTGCATTTTGTGTCTAAAGTCTTTAAGATGCTGATCAGGGTCTTAATCCATGTATAACTGAAATTTAACATTAACATTGATCTAAGAAAACAAGGGCACTATTTCAGACGAACCTTGCCAGACGGACATGTAACACCTGACAATCATTCTAATCACCCGATATCGTGAACTATTACTTACAGTATAATGTAAGTCAGGGCCAAATGAACCCTATCTGACGGATATGTATACCTTGCAAAGAATTTATACTCAAAATATAGTTGTCCCTTTACTCATTTTTGTGGGAATACATAAGGTCATTGAACCGTGAAAATGAGGCGAAAGACAATGCACATATGACAGATAGAAATCTAAAACAACAAGGCAAGCGAATACCAGATATGGATTACCCAGCTCCGCTAACTTACAAGAAATCAAATTTTAAACAAAGAGATAACGCACGCTGCTGTCGGATAAGCATTTCTAAATGGGACAATTGTCGCAGGCAAGACAAACACTTTTTATTGCCTTGTCAAGAACAGTATACTAATATTCAAATAATATTTTCATATTTACATTAAAAATTCAGCATTTCACAATATGTTCAAATAAGTTTACATCTTGGAATTTTTAAGATCTAAAACATTTGCCATGATTTTGTGGGGTTTTCTTCAACTTTTTGTATTTGATTGTCCCTATGGTATCTTCAGTCTCTTTTTTATAACTATACTTTGAAATTAATCAACCTAAAAATTTCATTTCATCTCGTGAGATGAAAGCGAGCTGTATGAGTACCACAAAAATTTAGAAGAGACAACACTAGGTAAAAAGAAAATCTCTGAACACTAATTACCACCCTAAGACTGACTTATTCACAAAGAGTGTAACAAGAATCATACGATGATTGACAGCCATATGTTTGACTTTTTACAAATTAAAGGAAATTTTTTACACATCCTTATTACAAACTAATTAATTTTTACCAGATATAAATAAGAGTGTGGTCCTTACCATCCACAAAACACTCTTGATAAAAAATGGCACTTATTTTACATCTTTGAAATAACAGCGAAGAAACCAAGAACGCTTTACAAGGCATTTATTTCGCGACCGCTCAAGTCACCTGCTCATCCTTCCAGAGCACCTGAGATCACCCCGGGTTTGGTGGGATCCGTGTTGCTCAGTGTTTAGTTTCTTTTTAGTGTTTTGTAGAATGATGTTTGTCTCTTGGTCGTTTTTATCATGGTGTTGTCGGTTTTTCTTCAACTTCTGATTTGATTTTTTCTTTCTTTTTTAAGCTTAACTTAAATAAGTCAACATAAAAAAATCATTTCATTTCGTCAGAGGATAGCGCTGTATGAGAAATACAAAAGATGGAATTGATAATATTTACCTTTTCCGTCGGTGTCGTGTACAATACAACACTTCAACAAGGAAGTTTGTTACCTGAATGTCATTTGTTGTTTGTTTATATTAAAGCACTAGTTTGCACTAAATAGACAGATGAAATTAAATATTGAACAACTCAACTATCTAGTTACCTATGAAGATAAACAACAATCGGAAAACGGTTGATAATATCTTTTTCAACTTTCGTTTCTATCGTTAGTCAGTAGTTGTGACTGTTGCTAAAACAGATCCACGTGACTCATGACGTCTTCGTTCATTCATTAAGAATCCAAAGAAGCGGGTAAACTCGAAAAATTAGAATTAGAAAAATGTTCAGAAAAACAAATAAAGATTTTAATGTTGCTTCAAACTATAGATTAGCAAATTTATCCCATCAATACAAATTGGATTTAATACTTATTTTATGTCAGCTGAGACACCGACATATCGTATTGGTCAACCAATTCGTGTTGGTGACAGCGAAATTTATGTTGTGTCGATGTCAGTCGTTCGTCCTCATAACTCATAATGTTGTAGCAGTTTAAGTGTAAGGATCACACCCATGGTAAATTTCGTATAGTGTATACATGAATATAAACAGGTCATTAGAACCGGGTACAGGGAAATCATATTTTGTTCAATATTATTTCATGCTATCTTTGTTTTTACAGTAAATGATATTGGTATAGTAACAGAAGTTTTTAAAAGAGAGACTCGAACAATAGGGGGCAGCAGTACAAAACAGAAAAAGCAATATAAACACATAATTTCTATCATAAATGGCACAGTGCCCTTGCTCCCCCATACACACTTAATCCGCCCCTGTGTTATTGGCCTAGTGCCCTTGTCCCGCACGATGAAATCACTCGAAAAAGCCCGACTACAGCTTGACAATATACCTACCATGCAATAGTGAGTTTTAAATTTAAATGAAAAATAAATCATATACATGTGAAACAATTTTCATTTAGTCCATATGACCTTATAATCGAGTGACCATGACTGTCTTTATTTGGCAGCATATTATCAAATACAACCTTATCAAAGATTTGTAAGACATATGTGTGTATTTACATGTACAATGCGGTCGTTTATGTTCCTCGTAGTTCTATGTTGCAAAATAAGGTAAGATCACTGATCAGTCAGAATGAAAACTGTAGATATTGGTTGTCAACTGTGCCTTTTGGAACTCGTTGGAATCATCTAAATATATGAATAAGGGAATGTGGTATGATTTCCAATAAGACTACTATCCACCAAAGAATTAAGATCACGAATGTAAACAACTACAGCCACCATACGGCCTCCAACAATTTAACACATATTGTTCAATCTCTCAAGGTAAAGTGCACCAAAACACTTTTTTTCAAGCTAACATCTTTCAAAACAATTAACAAAATTAAGAGAAAAATATTATAAAACAAACAACCAAGTTGAGTCTATGCATAGAGACTTGGTTACTTAAGTAATAAACAAATAAGGTCTGTTTGTTAGAAAATCATTTTAAACCAAGAGGCAAAACAAATAAAAAAAAAATAACAATAAAAACTCGAACCAAAGTATTTTAAATGAGAACGTTTGATAATGGAAATGTGATTCCCAGTTAGAGGTATAAAGATTAAACTAATAGTACAGTGACTTTTAAAAAAGACGAAAGTGGAAAGGGAAAGATTCCTGGCGCCATTTTCTGCATTACTTATACATCTTCCTGGTGATTAATATATTGTTTTGTAGGAAAATTGGATTTTTGATAATATATTCTACAAACTGAAAAAATCCTTTAAGGTGGTTAATTTCTCGGATGATATGATAGTTTTATTGAATTAATGTATTCTCAGAGTCAGTATTTCCGTCACTTGCCCAAATGACTGTCATTGGAATGGAAAATGTGATGTGCATAGCGGTAAATGCCAGTGTTTTGAGGGTTTTGTTGGAAATGAGTGTGCTGTCGACTGTGGATGTAAAGGTCACGGGACATGCAAATCTGGTTTGTTTTAAATTATATTTGTTATGTGATTTAAGATAAATATTAACTTAGTAACATGATCATAGCATTTAATGTTTCAAAGACAGAACAGACTCTCTCACCAAAAATCCATTCATGCAATATGTTTGTATTGCTGTTCTTCATTTCCCAGTGAGGCCGTTATCATGGTGCGAAAAACCCCGCTATTCTGAAGATGTCAGGAAGGAACGGTTTGAGCTGAACCTTATATATTGATAGCGCTGCAATTAACAAATAGCAAATACAGTCCGACATTGCAAATGTGCTTTGTCTATAGAGTGTCTGCGTGCCATTTTATTTTTCTTTGTTGACATAGTTGGTTTTTTTTTATAGTAATAAAGAGTATAACACAATGTAGACTGCTGTACCCCAATTTTTGACATTTTAACCTATTATGTCTGTTTGTTTTGCTATGTTTTGTTTATGTATTGTTTTTCAATATAAGGGAAATTTATGCGACTGTCATACAAGTGAGAGGTTTAGCTAGCTATAAAACCAGGTGTAATCCACCATTTTCTAAGAAACATAAGGAGAAGCCTGTACCATGTCGGGAATATGACAGTTGTTTTCTATTCATTCGATGTGTTTAAGCTTTTTATTTTGCCATTTGTTAAAGTACTTTCCGTTTTGAATTTTCGTTGGAGTTCGGTACTTTTGTTATTTGGCTTTATACATAAAACAATTTAAATAACTTGGCAAAATATTATGTATGAATAAAGGAATTAATTCACGTATATTATTTTTTTGAATTAAACGTTATTTTGAAGAACATCAATTTTTTTAAGTTGGACTAACTAAAGTATTTTACTTTTTCTTAAGACAATACCTGCCTCTGTCAAGATGGTTGGAAATGGTATGCAGCGCAGCACAAATGTATTTGGGATTGCCAGTGTTCAAATGGTCAGTGTTTTAAATTACTAAAAACAATAGTGTGTTAATGATTAGCATCTGCATTACACGTTTGAGGAATCAACCAATATTTCAATCACAAAGCCAATTACATCAATTTTTATACGCATAAAATGCTGTATAATCAAATACTTTGTGTCATAAAATACAAGATTTCAAGTGTGAAAGACCATGGACTATTGCGTATTGATCAAACGCAAAGAAAAAAAAACTCTAATAGAACTACCTACTGTGCTTGAAGACACATTAAGGCGACAGTGAATCATACATTTTAGTATTAGTTTTCCGCACTAATGAAAATAAGCGATACTAATTTTGATGAATTAGATTGGCAGTCATACAAATATTTGTATGAAACGATTTTAATCAGTTTTAACGATGATCATGTCCTTGAATATTTTTTGATGTATGACAATGTCCTTCATCACTTTACAGGGATACAGTGCATAGGTCCTAGTATATGTGGCTGTTCTACAAACTGTCATCAAGGTACATGTTGGAATGGTCAGTGTGAATGTTTTGAAGGCTACAGTGGACATGACTGTTCTAGTTTTAACCCAAATATGTATGTTATTCTTTTTTTTTAAATTAAGCTCTTTACAACACGTTGTTTTTGCTTAGAAATGAAATGTGCTTCGAAAACAACGACATTTTTATTTTCTGGTTGTTGTTGTTGAATGCTAGTCTCCAAGGTATATAATCAGTGCACGCTTCGGCACTTACACGATTTATATCATACCTTTCTTTTATTTTCTGTTGATAAATTTAGGAATCAAGAAACAAAGGTTCTACCTCCCTTAGGCAAAGTTGACCTAAAGTCGATTAGGCTATTGTTTTAACCATCTTTAGGTCATATAGCTCCTCAAGTATTCAAGTATTCCTACATCGATGGCTTTCAAATTTTGTGCTTTATCATTCCTCGAAAATAAATTCAGAAAGGGTTACCTTAAATCTGATTGAAATATATATCATGTGTCTAAACTTTGCTTACAAGGATCTGACAATAGTCCGTTCTACTTTCTGCTTTCTTAATTATCAAATGAGCGAATGAAATTTCAGCCTTCAGATTTTTGAAGGCTTATGTTTTTTGTTTTTTGTGTGTTAATCCGACAAAACCAGAGAATCCCGAAAGGTCCTTCAAACATAAAGTATAGAAGGGAACGTTTCCAGATCCTTGTAAGCAAAGCTTGGACACAGGATCTGTATTTTAATCAGATTGGCTTGACTTCGGACGCAATATTTATAAACTTTTTTTTTATATTTTTCATTTTAAAATTTGGAAACTGTCAAATGGAATTTAAAAGTGTGGTCATTATGTTTGTGGTCTATGCGCTTATTCCATTTATACTACAAAACCAACGTGTAAATAATAACAATGTATACATGTAAAAAAAAAAAAAACAGAATCTGGGGGAAAATTTTGATAAATATCAAGAGAGAGAGCAGACAAACCAAGAGTTGGAAGTCAGAATCGCCCCTAAATAATGGCTGATCAGTCAAACCAACCTTTAATCTCCATCCAAGATGTGAATAGAGTCAACCAAAACCTTAAACCAAAGCAATTGAAATATCCTTTATCATATATAACTCGCTGAATGGGAAAAACAAATAATAATATGTTTGTTGCCTTTCCCGTTTTATTTCGCAATTTTCTTTGTTTTACTTTTAGCGTTATTTGATTCCTATAACAGTTGTATGATTATCGTTGAATTTTTATTTAGCATGGCAAATAAGGATGTTTCTGTGGGTATGAATCTTGGCGGTCTCTCTTACTATTCATCTGAACTAAACTTTGTTGATATTGCTAAACTTTCTCAGTCCTGGATTACACAAAGAACCAGTGGACCCAACGCAAATAAATGGGATACAAATGAACAAAATTTGGTGAATTGGAGAAATGATGGATACCCTGCTTCTCTACCAGGTATTTCTTTTCTTCATTTGTTTTTCAAAAAAATATTAACATAAATGTCGAACTATATTAACTAAAGGAACGAATGGAAAAAAGGTTCTTCATTAGATGCTATAAATTTTCTCCTATACCAGAAGAGTTACTTCCTCTCATGTCACGCCTATCGTCAAATTTTATCAGTTGATTGTATTCTGATGACCAATTCTTCAACGGACAGACCTTTGATAAAAATATTTAACGGTGCCCTGCCTTTGGAAATGGAAAAACAATTGCTATTTTGAATATATTTATTTCAAACAAATTTAGAATTAAAGGACTTTGAATTTAAAATAAGAGATGTAGTATATTGGTAGTATGAGAAAACATGACGAAAGATAAAAGCGGGCGAAGTGTGTGTAAAAAAAAAGGATTAAATAAAGAAGTTGGCATTTACAAGGGATGGATTATACTAGTTGCAGTCCTTTCAAATTGCATTTACCGAAGCAGTATTTTTTTTTTACAGTCAACTGACATTTACCAATGAAACAAAACATATTCTAGTAAGCAGTATGGCTAAACATTAACATAATCAACACTGTAATGTCCCTTATGCATAGCAATGATTCCTTTTCCTGGTTTCAGTTTTATGTGTTATCAGCTCTTCAGCGTTTGTATTACGTTTTGGATTTTCAAATGCGCATCTGGTGCAGTTAATTGGTAAATATATAGGATTCTGTATACAAAAAAGTGAGATATTTATATAATAGTTAGAGATGTGGAAACGTTTCAAGATAAACGGTGTTTAAAACATATTGTCTCGTGGTTTGTATTATTATATGGACTTCAACAAATTAATTGTTTTTAAGGTAGCCGAAATAGTTTGTGAAGCGGACTTTTTTTTCTATTCCTGTTTTCTCTTTTATTGGAAAAAAACAACAATCCCCTTATTCACCGTGCCTTTCCATACATTTCAATATACAATATTCTTCCGTTTATAATCAGTCAAATATTTATTCATTTCAGATAATATGAGATTAGGGAAACTGATGTTAAGAAGTACCATCGGCCTCTATGCTCCAAAAGGGAATTACACTCTACTGTACGACGGAGAGGGCGACATATCTTTTAGATTTGCCCATGAACACATCATGTTTAATGGCAAAGGTAACATATTTATAGAAATTGTCCATTAGTTTGTTCTTGTGTTTTGCGTTGTACCGTTGTCCCGGGTTAGGTGGAGGGCTGGCTCCTTCAAACATGTTAAACCCCGCCACATTCTATTTGTGCCTGTCCCAAGTCAGAAGTCTGTAGTTCAGTGGAAGTCGCTGGTTCATGTCTGTCTTTTTTTGTTTTTCGTGAATTGTTTTGTAATGAATTAGGCCGTTATTTTCTTAATTGAATTGTTTCATATTTTTCATGTCGGGGCCTTTTATAGCCAACTATACGGTATGGGTTTTCTCATTGTTGAAGACCGTACGGTTGCCAATGATTGCATACATCCACTTCATTTGAACTTTGGTGGATAGTTGTCTCATTGGCAATCATTCCACATCTCCTTATTTTTATATTAACATACATACTGAGATTTTAACACAATAAATCGTTCGAACTTATCTTTAAATATACACACTGGTTAAAGCATTTCCTCAGTGTTCATTTTAGTTTTATAATCCACCATTTTATTCATATTAAAGTTTAGAAATCCCCACCACTATCTTTTTTAATATCCGTCAAGACGCAGCGAAACAGAATCAGATGGGATGAATTATCCATTGAACAATGAAAACGACTTATTACATAATCAAATGGGAACTTCATGTTGGAAGTGCTGATTGGTCAAACCCAATGAAAATGATTTTTTGAACTAAAGGATTTCAATCTGGTTGAGATACAGATTCCGTGTCAACTATTTATTTAATTGCGAGCAAATCATATGGAACCAGGAACAATCGCCTGCATTTAAAGATGATTTGATCCATTGAAATTGATTGTAAATACCTTTTTACAAATATGAGCGATTATCAAAACAATTGAATATTTTGAAATACTCAAGAGGCAAAATATTATCAGGCAAAAGAAAAATGAATAACATTTTTTAAATCATGACCCACAAGAATAAGACTGAACAAAAAAATTCAGCGTACAGGAATTCCTTTGGACAGAGAACCTTAATTGTAATCCACATGGTGAAGTCTAAATTTAAATGAGAGATCAAGAAATAATATAAGTTCAACACTGATTTAATTATAGGTAGAATGGTTATTAACATAAACGAAGGAAAAGCGGGCATTGAACTTATTCTCAGCAAAACAAATCCAGCCAACCCTGTTCGTAATGTTCGTTTTATTATGCCAGGATTTGAAGATCGATACGAGAAATTTCCATTTTATCCACCTTTTTTGGAAACTATTAAACGATATTCTGAACTACGTTATATGGACTTTTTACACACCAATGGACATACGGTAAGCATTTTGTGATATCGGATTTTTACACGCCAATGGAAACACTGTACTAATTTCGTAATAAATAGATTCCGATTAACGTCAGTTGAGATGCAGGTCAACATGCACAAATTCATTCATAAATCAACCAAATTCAGCTAGTTAAACTGATCGCCAGAATAGTTGTTTTATGAACAATTTTTATTTGTTAAACTTTTTATAGTTTATCATGACAATCTTGTAATGATCTCGTATTCGACTTCTTTGTACCACATGTTTTTAATTGGGTTTTCAAACAAGAAAATCACCTGAAGTGTCAAGATCTATAACAAGGCCAATAAATACAACTTTAAGCATGATGCACCTAAAGCATTAATAGAAGGCAAAATGACGAATACTAAAAAACTGTGATTCTTAGCCATGATATAACAAAAAGAAAACTTAATTGCAAATTTTGTTAAGTCATTTTATGGAATTTGAAGGTCATCTTTTTATTATTTTTGGGCTAAAAAATGGAGGGTTAAATATTTGCTTTAATTGTAGCGAGTTCTAAAATAATTACATCTAAATAATAGCTATGCTACATGTACAAATCTAGCCTGAACCTACAACATGGGACGATAGACGCAAACAGGAACATCATACAAACACGGGATCAGAAGGGGCTGCCATTGAACATATGATAGATTTAAGCAATCGGATTGGTGCAAGTCCGTGGTTTAATATGCCTCATGCTGCGGATGACAACTTCATCACACAGTTTGCTAAGCTAGCAGAAAAGACCCTTCGGAATGATTTAAAGGTAAATAGGAACTGAGGAGTTACACTTATTTCTAAAACTTAAGTTATGGCGTAATGTTGCATTTTGTTTCAAACCTAGATTTCACTGTAAAAACTTTACATCAGGTGAATATTAAAATAACAAAAAGGTGTTCGATACTGACTGACCGTAAATAAATATAACGTGCAATTGTTTTGAGAAAATATATGAAATCCTCAAATCTATTTCCAGTCTCAAATCTGTATCCTTTTTCAGATCTGTGTCTTATTCTATAATGTGTTATAAATGTCCCAAATCTATGTCTTTTCACAAATATGTGTCCTTTTCAACAAGGTATGCACTGTCCTATTGTCCTATGTGTTGACTTCATAATTATCAAAACGTATTCGAGGAAATATTTTTTGTTGTGAAAGACATCAATACGACCATCATTTTCGAATAAAATCGACATTAGTTATGGATATTTAAAACTTAATGGGTGTTGAAATATGGAAATGCATGGGTTTTAACATGGACACATTAGTTATATTCCCTTTTTTAGGGAGGGGGTCGTCAATTTAGTTAAGAGGTCTTAAACGCCAAACAAACGGAGAAATGTTTCTTTTGTGTTTTGTGTTTTTTTTTTTTTATAAAAAGGACATGGATTTGAATAAACAAAGACTATTATGACGTCACGAGACACAGATCTGAGGAAAGGAAACAGATTTGAGGCCTTACATAAATTTCACTCTTACATATATACAATGACAGTGGCGTAGGAGTAGAATGAATATTTGGGGGTGGGGGAGGGGCAAAAATATAAGTTTCTGCTTCATATCTTGATATCTTCCTTGATTTTTACACAGTTGGGCGTCTTCACTCTAGAATCTATGACAAACGTGAAGATATCAACTTTTCATTTGTCAAATCCGCATTTATCAGCAGTAGCTCTCCCTCTACTCATATGGCTTTTAAAAATCTCGGTTAATACGTTACTCTCTAGCATGTTCACTATACGGAATTCGTTTTCGGTCACCATCACATATTGGTTGACCGATATGAAGTGTTGGTGTTTCGACTCACTAGCGACTTATTATTGGTTTCTTTTATCTTTAGATACCAGTATAGTTTACTGATCTGTAATTTTACCGATTGTGACGTATTGACTGAGTGTGGATTTGCATGTACCAAGTCAGGAATATGACAGTTGTATTCCATTCGTTTGATTGGTTTGAGCTTTTGATTTTGCCATTTGATAAGGGTCTTTCCGTTTGGATTTCTCCTTGGAGTTCGATATTTTTGTTATTTTACTTTTTGCATGACGATTGATGCATGCATAACAAGAGACGCTTACACTGTCGACGCACCCGGTCTTATTTATACTAATAAAGAAAAGTTTGAAGATGCTAAAGACTAAGGCGATAAGAAATGACAATACTTTACTTGTATCAAGAGCCGAGTTAACTCTAAAGTAACATATTTGAAATAATTTTAGGTTGTGGCATTCTTAAATTGTAGACAAAAGAGATAATTCAGCTTCCAAATTGTGAACTTCCATTTCTATGTAGCAACGTTTCAGAAGCGCCTGCATATGGAGTATATTTCTCCCAGTTGATACGATATTCCAGGGCTTGCATGTCATATTATGATTTCCTTGATAGAGGTTTGCTGTTCAACAGGAAGCTATTAAAGCAAGAGTTCCAAGTTGAAATCATCCCTTCGTAAATTTTACAGACGCCATCACAGATGATGACGGATATGTTTCAATTTTCGTAACCACAATCTCGTCCTCTTTCCCTCGAATGTGTCCTACCGAATTAGACTTATCATCGGGTTTGTACTAACATTAGCAACGCAACGGGTGACACATGTGGAGCAGGATCAGCTTAACAAAAGGGATGATTTCAGCTTCCCAATTGTGAACTTTCCATTTCTATGTAGCAACATTCCAGCAGCGCCTGCGTACGGAGTATTTATCTCCCAATTGATACGATATTCCCGGGCTTGTATTTCCTATCATGATTTCCTTGATAGAGGATTGCTGCTCACAAGGAAGCTATTAAACCAAGAGTTCCAAATGGTGAAGCTGAAATCATCCCTTCGTTAATTTTACGGAGGCCATCACGAGTTGGTTGACCGTTATGGAATAACCGTTTCACAGATGATATCGGATATGTTCCTTATGTCGTAACTACAATACCCTTCCCTTTTCATGAATGTGACCTACCGAATTAGACTATTTACCGGATTTGTAATAACATAAGCAACACGACGGGTGCCACATGTGGAGCAGGATCTGCTTACCCTTCCGGAGCACCTGAGATTACCCCCAGTTTTTGGTGGGGTTCGTGTTGCTTAGTCTTTAGTTTTCTATGTTGTGGCATCTGTACTATTATTTGTCTGTTTGTCTTTTTATTTTTTGGCCATGGCGTTGTCAGTTTGTTTTCGATCTATGAATTTGACTGTCCCTCTGGTATCTTTCGTCCCTCTTTTACCCTTCTGAGTCACCTGAGATCACCACTGTTTTTGTTTTTTGTTTGGGAAGGGGTGGGGGATGTTCGTGCTGCTCATTCTTTAGTTTTCAATGTTATGTTTTGTGTACAGTTGTTTGTCTTTTGATCTTTTTCTTTTTTCTCCATGGCGTTGTCAGTTTCTTTTCGACTTATGAGTTTGAATGTCCCTTTGGTATCTTTCGCCTGTCTTTGGTATCATGTTAACATTCATTCTATGCATTTCATTTAGATTTACATTGAATATTCAAACGAAGTATGGAATGGAATTTTTCGACAGACTCATTATACCCAGGAACAAGGCATGAAACTCCACCTAGATTCAAATACCCGGAAAGCAGGATTGAGATACTATAATAAGAGATCTTCCGAAATCATGCAAATTTGGAAAACGGTCTGTTAAACTAGATTTAAAAAATAAATAAATTGACAAATGCTTATAATGATGTTAGTTAGATAGTCAAATTAATTGTTCAAAATAAAGTCTTTTATATGATATTATTTTCTATATAAATAACAATATCACAATGAAGCTACTATCCGTAATTCGCGCAGAATACATAGGAAAAAAGTGGTTAAGGATCATTATAACACAAAATAATACTCTGAGAACAGACATACTGGAAATCTGTTCACCCAGAAAGGACATGGATGTATAAAAGTTAATTGTATTTACATTGATTTGTGTTGCATTACATACATTAATATTTTATTGATTAAGCAACAAATTTGAGAGTACAATAAGAAAGGCTGTGGAATATGTTTTATATTCCAATATGTTTAGCATGGAAACAACAAAGGGGTACATAATCTTTACAGAACCAGTAAAATTACTGTTCACTTAATGGATAAACAAATCATGAGGCGAACACACCTTTTATAACACTACTTTGGATGAGGCTGTTAAAAAACTATACATGGGACCTAGGGAAGGCACTTCTCAGTGGCATCAATGGACAAAGATGGGTCTGTTAACTTTCAATGTAATTGAATAAATAACAATTACTTTGTCAATTGGTCGATTAAATTAAATTAATTATTACACCATTTTCAAATGCTAAAAATGCTGATGTGAACTCATTATGCATATGGCCAGGCTTGAGCATATTATTTTGGCAAGAGCTTTAGGAATGAGAGAAACTTAATTGCTATATCAATGAGTTTTACTTAATACACAAGTCATTTCTACCTTTCAACATGTAACAACAAGTTTTAAAAAAATCATTAAAATACCATTTTGTTGGTATCAAACTACATGTATATCCATTTTTCATAATATCTTAACATGCTTAAAGTAAATAAAACTATTTTAACAAGTTATATATTTATTAAATATGAATAATAAAAATGTTCATTTAAGACATGATACATTGACCATAAACACAATTTGAATTTTTTTTCATTTCAATCAGAATGTAATCAAAAAGTAATCAGGATTAAAAGGTATTTTGAAAAGTAAGTTAAATTGCATGTTATCAGATTATTGAGTGATTAATGATAACAATGATTACTTGAAAAATTGTAATCGATTACAGCTGATTAATGATTACAATTACAGTAACCCCAAGCCTGTCTATGGAGGGGTGAAAAGACTATTTTAGACATTGATTTTTTTTTAAATTGTCTCTATATAAAAATTAGGAGGTGTTGTATGATAGCCAATGAGACAACTATCCACCAAAGTTCAAACGAAGTGAATATAAGCAATTATATGCCACCGTAAGGCCTTCAACAATGAGAAAACCCCATATCGTATAGACGGCTATAAAATGCCCCGACATGAAAAATGTCAAACAATTCAAACGTGAAGCTAACGGCCTGATTTAAAAAAAAATTACGAAAAACATATATTACAGATATGAACTACAGGCTCCTAACTTGGGAGAGACACATAACGATATATAGATGGTTACTCCATTTACAAAGTGCCATCCCGTGGTATCATATATATTTTAATGAATAAGCCCATGAAGCATCATATGTAGACATATAAATATTATACAGCAAATGTCTTATCAATTGTGTCTTATATTATAAAAAAAATTGAATGTTCTAAATAACCACACCTTCCAGTATAGTGCAGATACTTATATGTATTAGTGTTGGTCTCCACTAGAACTTTCGGTCACAATCCTAATCGTTTGTGGCTTTGATTTCAAAACTTCCCAATAAATTATGTGACCAGATGCAATGAAAAAGTTGTAGAGGATGTTGGAGATTTAGAACTTGAAATATGATATATTTGTTTTTTAAGGTTTTCGGATCACAACCTGACAAAATTGTACCAGTTTGGGCATGGCAGACAGGTTACCAAGACTACACAAGACAAGCCATTGAAGATTTGGGAAATAGAACACGAATTTTCAAAGCAATAGCTATTACTGGTTATTTTGATTGCAATAACCTCGCAGGCAAGCATGTAAGTGTGATGCATATATAATACTGATACTTCGTTTTATTCATACATAAAAATGAAACTATAAAATGAATATCTGATATTGTGTGAGTAGTCTCTGTGTTGCATAATAAACATATAATGGAATAAATAAATTGATAATATGAACATGTTTTTTATTAAAGGCAGCAGAGATGTTAAACATGTCGAATATTCAAATGGAGACATATTGTAATAATCAAATGTCACAATCAGAGTCGTCATTTCAATATTATATGGACCTCGCCAAGGTAAATATCCATTTAGAAAGACGTAAGAGTGTTTACTGTCTTTGGAGTGTCTTCCTCATAGAAGGCTTTCTATTGTTTTTAAAAGAGTGTGACTTTTTGTAGTAAATGTTCTCTATATAAACTCTCTCGGAAAATTGAATAGTAGTGTCGAAAACAGATGTCTCTAAGGCAGAAGGTATAAAAACGAGGTTTAACCCACCATTTTCTTCTCTTTGAATTTACCTTGAAGTTCAGTATTTTTGTTATACTCTATACAGTCTGTTCCGGAAAATTGAATAGATGTGTCGAAAACAGATGATATTTTCAGATCTAGGCATAGAAAAGAAATTGAAATTAATGTCGATAAAAATAAATCTAATATCTGGCGATCAATGCTGTTGCATCTAGGAATAATTTGTTAGTGTTTAAACTGACTACGTATTCTGTATTACTTGCCCTGGGTTGAAAAATGTCTAAAACAATTTGACGTTAAAGATCCAATACCACATGAAATCCTAATTGTTCCACAAACAACGAAGAGACCAACAGAAATAGTTGAAAATGACAATACATTCCAAAACTCGACAAGCTGGCATTAGAAAGAATTTAGTATCGATATAAGGTATTGTTTTAATCACGCGATCAGTAACAAAAAGTCAAAATCATTAACAAAATGACAAATTTCTATTGTTAAAAATGTCTCAATCGGAAAATGTTTCATAAAAATACACGGATATTAAAGTTTGAAATGCAAAACAACACAAAAAACACAAACATTATTGAAAGAGATGACCTTTGTTTGATGTGTATAATGTAAGAAGTAGTAGACTGTAAAATTCCAATTTAGTATAAAACTGTATGTATCCCTTAATTAGAAAAATGGACTTAAACTTCTGATGTACGAAGGCGGACCATCCATTATGGAAGGCAGTGCCATTGCCCACGGAATTAGTCATGACGACGTCACAAATAAAGCAATCGCATTTAATAGAGATCAACATATCAAGTCTGTAGTAGATAATCTTCTTGAAGCTTGGAATAAGATTGTGAAAAATGATCCACAAAATTCACCACCAGGTAATAACTAATCATTTTATGCAGCATTAACATTTAGGTTTGGGGCATAGGAATTTAAAGATCTATCTACTCATATTTCTCTAATGTAGATGCGTATGCTTGAATATTGTAGTTATATTCCCTGTCTTTGAGGGTTTCGATGACTGGGTGCTCAGTTCTTTGTCATTAGTTTTGCCGATGTGCTCATATTCAAATTCTATCTTTCAATGATAAAAAGTGTGAAGAATTACTCTGATCACTTTAAGATGTCTATCTATAATATAAGTTTATTAACAAATTCAACAATCAAACAAGGAATAATACGTTTATTTAATTACACATTTTATTAGTTATGTTTTATTCGTAGGTGGGTTGTTCAATTATTTTTCCTCCACTGGTAATCCATCGAAATATGGCAGCTGGGGAATGCTTGAATACACAGGACAAGATCCTGCAACAGTACCTAAGTATGTAGCGACTCAGAGTTTCATTACTCGTCATTATAGTCATAACCCTGTAGACATACCGTGCAGTTTCCTTCAGCACAAGTCCCTTGGCTATGGTTGTTTCTTGCAGAAACGCGGATCTCTTCATTGGCATTGTGCTGTAACGGACGATGATGGTGTCACTTGGTCGGTAAATATAAATTTTTTCTCTTATTAGTCAAAAAAGTAGCACTCGCATTGATTTAAATTTCGTAGTGATGAAAATATAGTCTATACACTATAGTTGTAATGAATGCGATGACAAAATCGGAGAGTCAAAAAGGGTCAGTATGAAAGATAAAATAAAATAAAATTTTATGACGATACAGTAGAAAAGAAAATCAGATCCAAGAGTAAATATGCTACTTATTCCTGTTCATCCTTATCCTCATAAATTTTTATTGGTGTGCTCGTAGGCAACACAGGGCACAAAGAAGCAGTTTGATCAAATGCCATTTGAAAGATTGAGATTTTAAGCTTGTACAGGGTCATACAGTTATAAATAGGGACTGAAAAATGAGAACAATAGAAAAAGAGAATAGTGTAGAAAGAAAAACGAAAAAAACGAAAAAAAACTTATCGAACACCTTTTCCGTTAATACATTATTAGAGACGGCTTTCAGAAATAAAAATAAAAACTGTAAACCAAATAATCAAAACTTGTTTGAAAAGTGTCAGTCATTGAACCATGCTTTTTTTCTATTCATGACTGAAAGTTGGGATATTCAATTTTCTTTTTTTCTCTCCCAGTTTTATTACTTTGTTCACTGTCTTCCAAATAGGGAATTTGTTCCTCTTAAATTTTGATAATGGAGTTTGTGATGAAAAGAGAGATTGTGTAATAATAACAGAAATAAATTTTGTATATTATAAATTTTGAAATATCTATAGAAGTCATACATTTTATAGAATAGTATTTTACACCCTTTTAGTACTACCCAGACGTTGGCAACACTGGAGATACTCTTGTACTAGATGGATTTAACCCTACTACACATACAGTGTATGTCAGATCTGTAAACAAGATAGGGGTAAACAAATATCATAACATGGACACAAGAACAGCACATACCTGGAAAACGTAAGTGTTTTGATGTATGTTTCCATTTTTTTATTGTTTCATCTTGCCACTGTTATTTGTTCTTTCTTTCGTTGCTTTTAACGAACTACTTCAAATTTCAATGAACTTGCATTTACCTGTAAAGTTATAAAATTCCTGTATCATTTATAATTAATTATTCATGAATAAATGATTTTGAAACTACTTATTGCCCAACGTAATGCTGGAATTGCCATGCGACCGGCTTCCATCTCTTATCTGACAGACACGTAGAACTCTTTCTCCTTAACAGTTGAAGAAAATGAATCAGTTAAGTAAAAAAATATATCTCATTGAATGGTACCTACCAAGAATATTTACTTCGATGCATATCAGCTACAAAATTTGACCACCTCCAGAGAACTTACATTGAAGCTGGAGCTAATAAGAATAATGTGCTTCTTCTTGATAACCGATGGTTCAACTGAAACCAACGTTAGAATAGTTATTTCTTGTTGTTATTACTTAAATACTTACGAGGTATGTCCGAGGCATGATATTTATTATTCATCGGTCAAGATTTATTTCAAACATTTTGTCTATGTTTATTGCCAGAGCATATAGGGAAATACATGAGTACGCAAATATCTTGTTTGACAATTGCTTCACCATTTTAAACAAAATTATAGTAAAAAGCATAAATCTACAATAACATTGATGACAAGTGAACTATATCGGATCCTTCCAGTGTATTTTTCTGTGTACATCGATAAATGTTACTTATCGAGGAATCGATGATGGGAATGTTTTAACATTTTATTTTCTCATGATTTTAATGACATTATCCTGACTAGCTCTTACCATTTTTTTAAAATCTTGTTCATTTATGTATTACTATTAAAACAAGAAGATATAATATGATTGCAAATGAGACAATTCTCCATCAGAAACCAAATGACGTAATAGAAGGTAAGCCACTATAGGTCCCCTTACGGCCTTCAACAATGAGCAAAACCCACACCGCACAGCAAGCGCTGTTTAGATCAAGGTCCGATCAGTACGGCCAATTAGATAATATGCATTCAAACTTAGATCTCATTCGACGACTAATTAATGTAATATTAAAAATGTAAGTATGTTAATACCTTGTTGACAATCTTTTTTAATTTTTTTTCACGAAACTTCGCAATATTTGAATAACTTAATAGTGTTAATTTATTTTTAAAAAATAACATACGGGCATTTCCACCAATTTGAGGTGAGATAATAATTATAGCAATACAATTTTGGCTGCGTTTTTAAAACAAATATGGCGTTAAAAATGATTTGTCACAATGAAAAACATATTTTTAGTAAAACGTCCTTTTCCGTACATTTCATAGGTGCCACATGTGGAGCAGGATCTGTTTACTCTTCCGGAGCACCTGAGATCACCCCCAGTTTTTGGGAGGGTTCGTGTTGCTTAGTCTTTAGTTTTCTATGTTGTGTCATCTGTACTATTATTTGTCTGTTTGTCTTTTTATTTTCGGCCATGACGTTGTCAGTTTGTTTTCGATCTATGAGTTTGACTGTCCCTCTGGTATCTTTCGTCCCTCTTTTCCAAACAGGAAAACTTTTTATATCGTATATAATACTTGTTATCTCGAGAAAAAAAATCTGTGAGATATTTTTTACTTAATTTGGGGGTTAAATTTATTTATTATTTTTGGTACAAAAAGTCAAATTTAAAAAAACATCTAATTCTTCAAGTTTATATGATTTAACTTATATAAAAGTGATTGAAACATGGCTTTCTTATGGGAACACATTTACTTGTAGATTTTCAATATTGAATTCAAGTGATATGGATAATAATATCTAATAAAATGAAAGAATCTTAAAATGTGTGGAAAAAATCGTGATTATGCCCATATTTGTTTAAGGAAAAGAATACTGGTCTTTAGTTTTGTTACTTCTACTTCAAAATCTGTTTATTAATTCCGTGCATTAAACGCGCTTTACTGGATTTCCTTTTATCAGGAACGCTCACATCGAAACATTTAATAGCTATGGTTGTATAAATACGTTAGAACGTTTGGAGTTATCAGAACAAACGGAACATAACAACAATAGCCAAATTCAGGCTTTACTTTGTACTCCTATTTGTCTTATAACTGTTTGATAAATTGTTGCCACTCGTGAACAATTTCATATTGGTATTTGGGATTAATGCTTTACATGCATATCTTTATTTTTCTTACCGTATACATAAACAAAAGTAAAGATCTATTGTTAAATTTAGTAATGAAAGCCAAAGAAAAAAATATTAGATAAACACATCATGTAAATGTTGAAATAAATGTCCTCCTTTTTGCAGTCAGACAAGCTTTGAATACTACAGTTCATTAGCCTCCAGAAAAATCAAACATCGACTACCTAACGGTGTTTACAACTATTTAGATACACAGGCAAGTTGTTCTTGAAAGATCTAAGTAAACCAGCTGTCTCCGTGCAGTTTGTCATCTCAAAATAAAAAAAAAATCTTCAATATTGTGTGTTCAATTGTTCATGGAATTCATTAAATTTTGAAAAAGCATATTTTGGTATTATTTTAAGCTCACATGGACCATCGGCTATATGCATCACTGTACGTCACTCTATCGTTTCTCATCCTTTTGTTAACTTTGAATATTTTAATCTTCAGTTGTGACAATCTGATAACAATCAGATTTTCAATTCTATTCCTTCATAATTGTTTGCCACAGGTTACATGTCACATGTCGCGGCTTACCTCACCTCACCTCACCTCACATATCTTCTTCATGCCGGTCGGCTTTTAAGGCCCGCTTGGGTTTCCGTAATTAGCTATATTTTACTCTGCCTGGTGATTAGCCATGCAAATAATCTACTTCCTGCAGGATTGAGTTTTCCTTTCCATAGAAAATTGCCTGCCGTGGCGTGCGAGCTCCATCTGCCCGTATTTTCTTTCTGGGTTTACTCTCATAGCTTTAATTTTCCCAAATCCAAACACAAGGCAGTGATACTATCTACGCATAAGTAGGGCAAGTTTTATGACTTGCAAGGGCCTCTTTGGGGCCCTTTCTGCTCCGAGATCCTATACAATTATGCATAGGATGCTAGACCCAAATTACCATGTGCTGTCGTGAGGAGGCATTGTAGAAGTCTTGAATAGTGTTGTAGCTATGTACTAGCAAAAAGACTTACACACTCAGCTTTATTTTCACCTGCAAAGCAGGCTAACCGACGGTTGTAAAAGAGCCTATGACTCTCACCACACTGACACATACACAATCCGGTGGTACAAACCACCAACACACTAATACGCGGCTTACATGCATGATAAACAAGTCTAACAGAGCAAGATGAAAGTTTTGATTTTCATTGGATTGCTCATGTGAAATTACTGAATATTATAGACTCAAAAAGGAGAAAAAACATCTTTTTTTGTGTTTTTGTTTTAAAACTATATTGATAATCTAAACTGAGTTGTTGTTTCGAACTCGGTAAACTTTTATGGACCCGAATTTCCGGAACGTTCGATTTATATTATTCGGAAATTCGGGTCTGCTAAATTTTACCGAGTGATATTTTATACTCCCCGGAAGTGACGTATCTTTCAAAATCTGGGAAACCATTTTGAAATAAAAATAGATATTTGCTCACCTCAAAAGGAATCGTATCTTATTTTATCATTTCTTATGGATATTTCTGGAAATATTTTACATCAATAAGCACAAATAAGGTCAGACTTTGTATCTATGCAAAAATTTCTAGCCCTCAATGAAGATTTCATTCCAAAATTGGGTCTCAAAGTTCCGCCGAGAATTTTCTCTTAAAGACCAGACGGAAAAAATGGCTTCTGCGTTATGACGTCGTAGAAAGGCGTCACAGAAAAAAATCAAAATAGCCTTTCAAGACGTCATAATTATTTGGACTACCCGTTGGTATGATCTAGGTGGCCACCGATCGTTTTCCTGGACTATGCATAATGCAGATGTGGTTGCTACAATGTCACATAACCATGGGTATGATCACATGGATTGAAGGACATTACTTTAGTCGAAGTATTTAGTTATTCAGTCGTTACCTTTTAATATGTGCCTGCATTACTATTTATTCTAAAAGTTGATGGTTATAGTTTTGCTATTAAGATTTCGCGCAAGGATATCGTTAATAAAAAATAAAAACGTTCAATTATTTTAACTTGAAAAAGTCAAAACTAACGATTAAGGATCAATGAATCCGATTGTTCAAAATATTTAATATTTTATTTCATATGTAAATCCTCCCATGTATGTCTGCATAGCTGGTGCTTCAACTTTTAACACTGCATGGTGCCCATTACTTTGGATACATTGAGTCTCTGTAAATAATAAGGTTTTAAGATAAGATTAAAAAATGCATCTCTTATGGCTTTTTCTTTTTTGGTGTTGTTCGATTGCCCATTGTATATCCACAAGGTCCGAAACACAGGAATTGCAAGCTTAGACTTAATTATCATTCTTTGTGTTTTAATCATTGCTTTAAAACCCGACTTATTAAAAATCCAGTGTACTTGCATAGTTCATTTCCTTTTGATGTTTATAGTCGTTTCCACAGACATATTGAACAATTTAAATGTGTTAAAAGTTAGGAAAGATATAAGTTGCCTACATTACCTGATGAGAGCATTTTCAAGTGTGTCATCTTGCCAAAGGAATTGTCATAGATGGTAAAGGAACCACCTCCAATCCAGTCAGTAAGACACAAACTGTATGATTTAGGTTGGTTAAACAATACTTTTAATGAACCCCTTGGGTAATTCCAGTCTATGGTTCCCTCTAAACAAGATGGCGTTATGATAACGTTCTCTGTTTCATTCTTTGGTATAAATCTGCAATCATACTACTAATATTTAGAAATAGTAGTGGAAAACAGCTGATCCAACAATAGCAGCATTAAGATTTTTTTAAACATTATCATTAAAAAATGCAATCGATGAATTGCTTGACATGCAACCGAATATCATATTACATGGCGCTTCGTATTAGACCTATTTGGAAAGCA